TTTTTTTTTTTTTAATATGTAGTCATTGGAATGTTTTTTGTTGTTTTTGTTGCTGAATCTCTCTTTTGTACCAGGGATCAAACTTTGGGACCTTGCTCTTGCAAGGCAGGCAGACAGGACACAGAACCACTGAGCTAAATCCCAGGTCCTTGCTGTTTCTCTTAATTGTTATTTTGAAATTCAAGTAACATTAAGGGAGATTTAAATTTTATCAAAGGGGACCTGGAATTTTTAAAAAATAATGGGAAATGTGTAATGTAGAAAAAAACAACACCTTGGGACTTAGGTGAGCTAAGTGTTGACCTTTGCCCTACTGCTGACCTTGGGACCTTTGCTGTTTTTAAACATCAGTTTCTTTATCTGGAATATGAAGAGTATTTTCTGTGGCTCCCTTATGAGACTGAGGTAACAGCTCAATCGCAACGTATAAGTACAGTGTAGAATATAACTTCTATATACTATTCTTAGTGAGAAATCATGCAACATGAGATAAATATTCCTGTCAAAATTTAGTGTTTTTTAAAGCATTTTACCTGAGTTTTCTCTTTACTGATATAAGTGGAAGGCTTTTTGCTTTTTTCATGTTAATCACTAAACTTCTAAAATGTCAGGATCTCCTTGAGTTTCACTTCCTCAGATTGAACTACAATAGTTTTCATTGTGAACTTTTTCAGTAGATAGGTAGACAACCAGTCTGCAGCCTGTAGTACCAAAAATAGACTGATTTTTTTTTTTGAGACAAGGTCTCACTATGTAGCTGAGACTGACCTGGAACTTACTATGTAGCCCAGGCTGGTCTTGAACTCACAATGATCCTCCTGCTTCAACCTCCCGAGCGCTGGGATTACAGGCATGTGCCACCACACCCAGCAAAAAAAATAGACTGACTTTTTGTGGACCTTTTGAGAGGTGATAGTATCTGAGAGAAACAGATTGATTCATTGGTCATTGGTAGGCTTTCTGGATCTCGCATCTCTAAAAAGGGCCATCCCATTTCCTTCTTTTCCCACATACTGCCCACCAACTCACCTGATGGGAAATACCAGTAATGTTTTTCTTTCCTATTCTCTATTCTCTCACTTGATGAGACTTATTGCTTCTACTTCTGGAGAGCCTTTCAGAACATTCTTATGACTGATCCCTCATTGGTTCTAGCTAGGATGTGTCTTCCGTGCCTCTCACCTGCACTTGCTATTGTGATGCTTTCCTCACGTGGCAAAGTCTAAACTCCTTGGCTTTCTGTACCCTTAATTTTTCCTTCCAAATCTGTCACATAGTGTTTCTGTGCACTTGCTCTGTCATCCAGCCACACAGCAGTCTTTTAGGGAATATATCTGTGACGCTTACATTCCCCAGTGCCATGTTGAGTAAGAGAACAGTCTCTGCCTGGGTTCAGTTACTGTCTCTACCGTTTCCTAGCCTTGTTACTCTGGAAATCCAGCTAACCTCGCTTTGCCTCAGATTCCTCTCAATAAAATGAGAATAAAGATACTGCCTGCTTTATAATGTTATTGGAATCATCAAAGAGATTGCTATGGCTTGTGTTTAGATGTCCCCTAAAGCCTCATGAAAGTCAGGTGGGGTTTTTTCAGAGGTGGTTGGATCTAGAGTGTATGAGGCTGGAATTTATTCATGGTGCAAATGCTAGGCTCAAGGGCGCTAGAATGAAGGGTATGAGTGTTACCTGCCCTAAGTAGTCTGGATAAGATATAAGGGATAGAAAGAGCTGTGGCTGGCCCTCTTGTTGATTTTGATATCTTCTACTGCTGTGAACTATTCTCCTCTGCTATGTGCCACCCTGCCTTGGAGCCAGCCAGTTGTGAACTGAAACCTCAACAAACTGTGAGCTAAATAAATTTTCCTCCCTTAATTTTGAGTGTCTGGTATTTTTTCTCAGCAAGGAAAAAAGTAATTAAGACAGATAATCCATGTAAAGGACTTAGAACTGTGCCTACCTGAGTATTTTAAGTGCTATGTATAAGTTATTAGCTGTAGTCATTATTATTAATTCCTGTTGCTACTATTTCTATCTAACATCTATCAAAATTCTTTGTATATCTCTGCTCAAGTTGTTTTCTTAAGTCTTCCGAACCACAAGTAATCTTATCCATTCATTAATTTATCCATGTTCCCATTGCTTAAATTTTTTAAAGACCTACTTAAATATTGAGTGCTTAACTGTGTACAAGGCATAAGTACTCATTCAGAGGAACACAAAATTTAAGTTAATCTTAATTAGATGCCCTCCAGGAACTTAGAGTCTGGCAGGACATATCAGAGACTATAAAATATCCATCCATTGTGCAAATATTTTTTGAATAACAACAAAAGATTCAGTCATTGTATATAGTTACCCAAACTCCTGAGTCTGGTGTCATGGTTTATGACTAACTTAGGTGAAAGAGAAGAGTTTGAATACCTTAAGCAAACAATAGTTGAAGTGTCTGGGGTGTGTGGACAAAGAGAGTTTACTCTCTTTTGGAGGGTCAGCAAGGCCTTTTAGAGAAGAAAGGTTCCCATTTCGGCCAGGTCTTGCAGTATTTTTGGACTTTTCCCATTTCTGTATTACTGAGGAAGCATTCAGCTGTGACTATAGATGAGCTGTAGCATTTTTGTAACTACAAGCTCCTCTAGGGTGAAGATAGTTTCCATTTTTGAGTTCCTGCTGATTACTCCAGGTTTTGTAAATATATTTTGCTCAATAGAGGAGGATGACAGATAAGGAAGATGTCTCTTTCTGTGTAATTTATAGGGACATTATAGTTTGATTTTTAATATCTGTGAAGCATTCAAACTTCATAATGAAGACATATACTAAGTGAGGTTTTTGGACACATTCATGCCATTTCTTATTACATTAATTGTGGCCATGGTAGTCATTATAGGAATATAGTAAAGTGAATTCTGCATCAATCTATGTACATATTTCTTCCTATATTTCTGTACATTTCTGGGAAGAAACTCTTGTAGGTTTCTCTATTAAGCCTTCCCTGGACCTAGAATTCCAGGATGTAATTTCATGACTTTGATCATACTAGAAATCGTAGTTTTCAAAACTTCCCAACAGTTTTAATTCTGAATTTCTCCTTGTAGCAAGGAGCAAGGACCAACCCCAGTGGAGAGAAAGAAGAAAGGAAAAAGGAAAAGTGAAACAACAGTGGAGAGTTTAGAGCTGGATCAGGGACTGCCGAACCCATCCCTGCGGAGTCCTGAGGAGTCCACTGAGTCTGCTGACAGCCAGGTACAGCTGTGACCAAGAGTCTGCTGGAGGTTATGGCTGCTGGACGGGATCTTGCTGACACTGATCCTGGTGCTCTTCTATGCCTATCTCTGGCATACTACCCTATACACAGAACAGGGCTGTGCTTTTTCTGTCTTGCTGAGTGAACAGGTATACCACAGCCTTTTTCCTTAGCCTTGACTTTATACTGATAATCTCCCAGTTTTGTTTTGTTTTTTAGTGGTGTTGGCTGTTTTGGAAAGTAGCATGATATTAGCCTGCAGAGGAAGTTGATGTGGAAAATGAAGTTTTGAGCTAAGCTAAGTAAGGTTCAGGGTGCCTATTTAGTCATGTAGGTGAGCATAGGGTTAGGTCAGGGATATTTCATAATCCTAGATGTTGGAAAAGCGAAGGTTGTATTCATTATGCCAAAATAGAATAATAAGAGATGTTTGTTAAATACAGAAACAAGTAATTGCCATCCATTCAGTTCCTAAAGGTACCCCAAAGTGTGCCCAGGATACACATGCAGATTTTTCCTCTGTGTTCAGGCAACTCCTCTTGGACGTAAACTCTAATATTTGAAAGTGCTTTTTCCTCTGATATCCACAGCAATTTATCAGAGTCATGCTGCTACAAGGAGACCATTTAGAATAAAACCAACCTAGTATGCCTTCCAAGATTGCCTGGATCCCCTTTAGTTTTTCAGCAATCTTCACTGTAGGAAGGTATCAGCTTATCATCACATCATGCTGTTCTTATCTAGTAGTGTCTGGTATCAGAGAAGAACCTCCTTCACTGCCTGTAAGCTGGGGCTATTAGGTATCCAGGTAGGCGTAAGACCAAGCACATTAATTTGATGGGACTTGGCAGGAAATTAAGTGTTTATAGCATTATGATCTGTATTTGGAAATGAAAGAGAGGTTTTTTGGGTGGAATACCTCACATAAAATTAAACATTATAGAGGTGCCATAGTGAAAAAAAAAAGTGATGGAGCACATAGACAGTTGCCCAGGAGGTACCCTTTATAAGAAAAGAGAGTTGAGATTTTGTTTTTTGTTTTTCAAGGTTTAAATATTGGAGATTGTGCTAGCTGATATATAGTTCCCTGAGGTGATTCTGCTGCTTGGGTATGATAAATTTATAGAACAAACTGTGTGTTTTTCTTTGAGGAAAGTTACTGTTCTGCTTTGTTACTATATGTTGTTTATCCAAAAGATACAAGCTACTTAATTAGACATGAGTTTTAGATAGTAACTTGCCATTTTGTCACAATTAAGATGAGTCCCTGCATTTCAAAAAGTGATAGGAAATTCTCAAAGTAAGTCCTAATAAAATCAATATTGATTAGTTTTTCAAACTACATTTTTAGGAGTTTTTCATAAGTATGGTGAATTCAAACAAAAATAAATTAATAAATAAAACTGTTATCATTGTCATAAGTTTCAGCTTCCAGCTAATAACACTGAGGTAGACCTTAAAGATGACAGGATGACCTCCCATTCCTGTTCTAGGGAAATAGAAACCAGTTCCATAAAGGAGGAAAGATATCACTGCTATTGATGAATAAAATACATCTCCCCCCTCTCTGAGACTACATCTTGGCAGATCATGGCAATGGAGGTTAGACTTGTTCTCTCACTCAGCTAGATCCCATTTTGAGTAAATTTAGTTCTTGAGAGAGCTGTGTTTAAGATTTCATTTGTAAGGTGAGAAAGCTTTGCTTGACATGTAAGTACGGATGAGGGTATTCTTATACAGGCTTTTGCCTTTGACTCATAGAGCTGTTCTGACAGGTGTGTTTTTCCTGTAGAAACGACGCTCAGGTCGACAAGTGAAACGCAGGAAATACAATGAGGACCTCGACTTTAAAGTGGTGGATGATGATGGGGAAACCATCGCTGTTCTTGGAGCTGGCCGAACATCTGCGCTCTCGGCTTCTACACTGGCTTGGCAGGCAGAGGTATGGCCATTACATGAAGGTACTGGCCTATGCTACACAGTCACCATGGCCACCTTGTTGGAGTTGTTCTGTAACTCACTGTTAAACATAAATTTACATCATTTTCCAACTGCTAGTGACTTTTGAATGGCTTTCTATTGCACTTAGAATAAAATTAAGATTTTTTACTCTGCCCAGAAGGGCCCTCTCTGATCACACGCTCTTCTTATTTCACCAAATTCCCATTTCAGATAAACAACTTTTTCCTATCAGTACTTTCCAGCTAAAAGACTAGCCATTTTTAATGAACTGAACTAACAGATTTTTTTTCCCCGCCCACAGACCTTTGCCTGTGCTATTCCTTCTGCTTGGAATGCTTTCCACAATTTGTACCACTGGTTGTCAACACTTAAGTTTCACCTAAAATAGTATTTTCTTAGAGAGGCCTTTCCTACCTCTTTTATCTAAAATAGAAATGTGCCTCTCATCCCAGTGATTCATGGTTTAAACTTGTTTATTTCCTTCATAGAACTTACCACAATTTACCTAATACCTGATCTTATTTTTTTTCTTTATAATTAGAATGTAAAAATCTTGTATGTGCTAAATACTTTAAATTTAGAGATTGAGGGCCAGGCATTTAGCTCAGTAGTGCCACTGCCTGCCTCACAAGCGCAAGATCCCAAGTTCAGGCCCAGGTACCACCCCCCAAAAAGAAAAAAAATTTAGAGATTGAAATCAAAAGAACTAGCAATTACATTTGAAACTATGATTTGACAATTTTGTATCGAGGGTTAGCTACAAAGCCAGGTCCTGGGGTACAAAGATGAGTATAAAGATATGGTTCTTTCCTCTGCACAGTTTTGTCTAGAAGAAAGGACGCAGGGCTTTCTAATACCATGATAAATACAGGGTTAGAAGTATATGCTAGATACAGTCACCACACAAAGAATGACTGGACAGGCGTTCAGGAGAGCAAAGACATAGGAAGGATGTTTCTACCATGAACTCAGAATCTGCCTCAGAATCTGAATGGCACCATGGGTTATGTCATGACCAATGAATGAGTGTGGCAGAATGTTAGGGTATGATCTGAGGGGTGGTGGGCCATAAGGGCTGAGAGGTAGGAAGAGTCACTTGGATATCAGCTAAGGTGTCCAGCCTTTAAACTGTGTGTTAAATGAGAAGCACGAAGCATCAGTGGATTAAAGCAGAGGAGCAGAATGCTCATGTTTGCCTCTTAGCAGTTCCCACTGGCAGCAGTGTTGAGGAGGATGGTAGAATTAGGACTTAGAGGAAGAGTGTTAAATGCTGAAAATGAGGAGATCTGTGCCGAGGAGCTTATAGAGAAATGAAAGAGGAAAGCAATAGCAGTCTGTGTATGTAGGAGGGGCATCATTGCCAGCTTCACATTCTGGGACACAGGCTCTCTGTCATTCGGGAGTCACTTGCTGACTTGGCAGAATCTGCTGTGCATGTGGAGGGGCAATAGCACAGACACCTGTCCCTCCCCAACTCTAGTGTGTCTTCCAGAAGCTAATACTACTTTATCTTCTTCAGTTACCTTGCCTCCAACTTAAAGAGTGTTTTCATACAATTTCACATGTGCTTTCACTCTGTCTTTGCATGGAAAGTAGCAGGGACAAGGGGCTTTTTGACCCTATTTTAACAATCAAGAAATTGAGGCACAGAATGACCCAGATCAAAGTTACATAGTAACTGTTAATCAGTAACTAGCATGCAAGAGTTGATTTCATGTCTCTACTAGGAAGTATTCAACCAATGAATATAATATTTAAGAGGAATAATAATTTTATGTATTACCATTAAGGTCCTTGTCAAACAAATATTTAAAAATAGCTTTTGCAAGACTACTATGTGATGATAGGATTGTGTTGCTTTATAATAGGTTTTCCTTCCTTGGGGATTTTATGGTTGATTTGGTTGTTAAAACTCTATAAGGGATTTTATTTTCTCCCAGTAGCCATTTAGCCTAAGCCATTAAGCACATTTCAGATGTTGTTATGACTTTTCTGCTGGCACCTGAAGGGCAGCAGTGGCTGATCTGACAGAAATAATTTGGAAATTTTTATGTATCTTATCAAGGCTCCTTTTTCCTGTAAGGGTTCAACAAAAAAGGGTTTACATGTGGAGAAACAAGATAGAATCTGCATTTACATGAGTTATGCCTCAAAAAATTGTACCAAATATAAACAAGAAAGAGGCCTTATAAGTGGTTTGGGGTTTGATGATCAGATGTAGTCATATGGAGCTGAACTGATTGTAAGGTCTATTTCATAGTTTCCTGTGACAAGTCTCTGTTCTCCCTAATCTGTTACCAGACTAATTTTCCCAAAACACCAAGGAGAATTGTGGGTTGTTCTCACTCTCCTGCTGAAGAATTGGAGGTGGTATTAGATTAAAACATTATATATGGCTACACACTCCCCATTTTACCCCCCCCATTCAGTATGGTTTTACTCTAAAAAGACAGATTACTTCATATTCCAGATATGATTTGCTGTCCTCATGTTTTCCTTTAGGTTCCTTTTGTTATGATTTTGTCTTTGATGACCTCTTTATGAGCCATTATTCTTTAAACTAAACCACTTAAAATCTTACATATTCCATGTAACCCAGGCTGGTCTCACTTTCTGAACTTGTGCTGTACCTGTGACTGTCACACCATTTAACATTTGCCCTGGAACAGACTAAGACAGACATGTTTATTTTTTTTTTCCTGCGTGAGTATGCACCTTCTGAAACCAGGTCCCAGCCTGCACACCACTTTTGAACCCTTCATGGTACTTGGTAAATACTTGTTGATTTGAAAACCGATTTGCTCCTTGTTGGAGCCCTCCTTATCGCTAGCTGAGTAGAAGTATATGAAGTATTTAGGGAGGATTGGGGTGAGTAGTCTTTGAGATTTTCTGTATAGATAAAGTTTTTAAAATATACGAATCTCTTGACATACAAATGAATGGATTAAAATGGTCTTCTTTAAAGGATAATTTGAGAAAATTCTAAGCAGTTAAGAACAGATGGCAGTTATGGAAGTGTGTTTGGCAGACAGACTTAGTTTATATCTGTGTGTACCTCTGTACACTGAGTGTTTACACACACATGATCATTCTTTGCACAATCTCACTTTAAGAAAAGAATCCTAATTTTCCAATCTTTCTGACTTTGATGTGTGTTTTGGAAATACTGCTCCCTTTTTCTTTTAGTAAAATAAACTAGAAACCTGTTCTCAGTGTTTTGATGACCATCTTTTTAAAATTTTCACAGATTTCCATTTATATAAAGCTAAAAAGAGAGACAAAGTATATTGTTCAGAGATAAATATATGGATAGTAAAACTAAAGAAAATCAGGTAAATGAGAGCTCTGCAAGTCAGGATTGTTACCTCTTTGGAAAACAGTGGGCTTCAGAGGGGAAGGCAAACAGGATACTTTCATTTTTATTTTTTTTTAACCTGGGTGGTGGTTATGACCTGAGTGTTTCCTTTATGACTCTTTGCTAAGCTGTAGATTGTTTGTATGTATGTATGCGTGCATGCATGTATTTATTTTTGTTTTGTTAAGACAGTCTCACAATGTAGTTCAGGTTGATCTTTGAACTCACGATGTAGCTGAGGCCGATCTTGAACTTGCAGTGATCCTCCTGCCTCAGCCTCCTCAGTGTGAAGATTACATGAATGCACTACCATGTGCAGATTTTAGATGCTTTTCTAAATAATACATTATTAATTTTTTAATACTGGTGCCCAATTCCCATTCTTTAACAAATCCAAAAAAATGAATTGAACTTTTATTTCAAGCTTCTTCAATTTTATTTAGAAACTTTCTATAATTAAGAATGTTTTAAGCCTTCCATCCTATTAATGCTAAGAGTAAAGTACTATGCTTTCTTCGTGTATGTATTAATGTTTCCTTAAATTTAGTAAATAAAATGTTTCCTTAACTCTAGTAAAATACTTTGAATAGCAATCAAAACACAACCACCAAAAACCATCTTTATCTGTTCTTCATGATATGTAAGAATAAGAGAGTATTTGAATCAATTTGGTTGTGAGGAAGAAAAGATTGTTCCTTTCAGCATGTACATACATATGTGAATGCTTTCTGTTAATCTGAAGCAGGTAGGGAAAGTGGTCAGCAGTTGAGAAAGTTGGGTACTGGTTGATAGATCCATTTCGTATGTCACTTTATTCCCAAAGCCTCTCCTAATTCACCCAATGCTCCTCTTGCTTCTCTGTTCCCATAGCACTTGCATTATGCTATTATTACTATGTCCAGCTGAAAAAAAGGCTCATAACATTCTTCTGAAATATTTATTGAGCACTTGCTACATGCCAAAACTGACTGGATCCTGGATATAACACTAAGGAATAAAAGAGAGAAAAGTCCCTGCCCTCAACATATAAATTGGGTTAACAGAGAGGAAGCCTGCAGCAAACACTAACCTGGCCTTTTCCTTCAGACTTTTGCCAGATTTTGAACCTACATGGGATGAGAGGCCAAAGGGTTAAGACCAAAATGTCCATGAAATTAGCATAATAAATAAAAAACTTATGTAGTATATCAGTAACGTGCTATAGGAAAAAATAAAATGATATAGAATTCAAGGTTGAAGATTATACTTTTTAATAAATAGAGTTGCTTTCATTAAAAAGGTAACATTTGAGCAAATGATTGAAAGAGATAAAAGAGGGAAGGAGTTGTGTAGGGGAGAAGAACAGAGGGGCAACCTATGCAGTTTCTGAGATCAAAGTGTGCCTGGTAAGTAAGAGGAACAGGTAAGGAAACAGGAGGTAGCAGATAAGGTGAGGTGTAGGATAGGTGAGAGGGTACGGTTCCTGCAGGTTTTAAAGACCATTGGAAGGTCTTCAGTTTTTGCTCTGAGTTAAAGAGAAACCTTTAAGGGTGTGTAAGTATAAGAGTGACAATAAAAACAGTCATTCTGAATATCGTGGTAAGAATGGACTAGTGGAAGAAGAACAGAAGCCAGTAGACTATTTA